TCCCTACTTTTCAAAGTGAGAGGAAAAATCTTGAATACTTGCTAATTGTTTAGGGAAGACCTGGGCAGGCACAATTGCTATTTGCACCTGTAGTCCTGATTCTGATTACAGTGTGCATTTTCTAGTATTTTTAGGATAAAGATACATGCTAGGTCTCGAAAAAATCAACAAGGTGTTCTAGTCTAAAAACACCAATAATAATATGTCCTATTATGTGTGCTGTCACTTGCTAAACAGCATGAAACCGTAAATGTATGGGACACCTAGAATACTTACCTATAAAACTAAAGCATTCTAAAACAACTAATACCAAATGACTTCAACTATTAGAAATGAAGCATTTGGCGGGGTGGGGGGGAAGCAGATAGAAGCAAAATCTATAGGATTTTCAGGCATCATTGAAAGGGCTTTAAGTGGCCTAAAAATTTTCAAAAGAAACAAGAAGTTGTTCTTTTTCCAATGTTACTGAAAGCTTATACATACAGTTTTAAGTCAGAACTCTCAGAAAGCTTAGCGTCCTTAAGTCTATGGGTATTTTCAGAATTTTCGTTAAGGTACAATTTGGTATGTTATAAAAATATGGTTATTAATAATAGGAAAGATATAAAGTTTCCCAGTGCAACATGGTGATACCAAGTATCACGACGTCTTTTCCAGACTCCCTCTGCCCCTCCTTCAAAACATGGAGGGTAAAGTGTGGATTGCCGTGGAGACAGCTCAGGGCTGGGGACAGAACAAGGTGGAGTCTTTGGCTGGTGACTTGGAGAAGCGCCTCTTTGGCACCAGACTCTCCCTCACAGCTGGAAGGTGAGACCTGACCAAGTTGGTGTCCTGGTCTTTGTCACTAGGGGATATGAAAAGGAGCTGGATAGAAGGAGAGGAGAGAAAAACCATAGCGCTGCCATTAAAAATAAAAGACATATAAACTTAATGCCAGTGAATCAAAGAGGGAAAGTCTTTTGTTAACCTGAAAGCTGCAACACTCTAGACTCACCCACATGCTTGCTGAATTTAAGACAGTCAGTTCTGGGTTCAAAAATGAGAGAAAAGGACAAAATAAAAGAAGATGGCTGAGGAGTTTGAGGTTTTTGAGCACAAGCTGTCTGTTCTCCCTGCTTGGCCCTTGCAATAAACCTTTCTCTGCTCTACAAAATAAAATAAAAAATAAAAAGAAGATGTCTGAAATGATCAAAGTGTACCCTCAAAGAGTCACGCAATGGAATATTACTCAGCCACAAAAAAGAATGAAATAACACCATTTACAGCAACATGGATGGACTTAGAGATTATCATACTAAGTGAAGTAAGTCAGACAGAGAATTTCATATGATATCACTTATAAAATGATACCAATGAATTTATTTACAAAACAGAAATAGACTCATAGACATAGAAAACAAACTTATGGTTACCAAAGGGGAAAAGGGTCGGGGAGGGATAAATTAGGAGTTTGGGATTAAAATACACACACTACTATACATAAAATAGGACCTACTCTATAGCACAGGGAACTATACTCAATATCTTATAATAACCTATAATGGAAAAGAATCTAAAAAATATATATATATATTTATATATATATAATATATATATATATATATCACTTTGCTGTACCCCTGAAACTAACACATTGTAAATCAACTATATATCAATACCAATTAAAAAAAAATAAAATAAAATACTAGTCCCACCCCACAAATCTCTCCCCACTAATCTCAAAATCTGCCTTATCATCCATCACATCCGTGGTTGCACTTGGATCTGACTCAGTGCAGGGGGCTGGACAGCAGATGGCCGGCAGAGATGGAGCACACACCCCGATCACTCTCCCTGCCCTCCGTCACCAGCCTCATTTCTTTGCCTTGAATATCCCGAGACTAGAAACCAACGCCAGAGCCTCTCTGTCCCCCTACAGTGGCAGGGCTGCAGGTGCAGCTGGTCCTCACAAGTCACAGGCAGTCCAGGGCCATGCTTCCTGCTAACCCTGCTACCATCCCTTGCCCTCTCCAGCTAGAAGGCTTGTGTGTAAGTCTGTGAGCATCCAGCTCTCGGGACATACTCTCCCCTGGGATGAAATCAGCTGCAAGGTCTCAAGCTCACTCTATCGAACAACTCTTCCTAGAAAGCTGTAGGACGTGGGAGGCACTTATTCCTAGTTTCCAGCATAAGGGCAGACACATTTGTTCCTTGTATATTCTGATTATCATTTCAATGGGAATTGGGGAGTGGGTGGAATGGAACACCTGTGCTCGAGTACCCATCCTGCCAGAAAGCCAAATGGCTGTATAATTAACACTCAATCTTGTTACTCTTGAATTCCAAGAACAACCCGTGCTTGGTAACATGCAGTAAACAACTCATACACATTACCTTTGATAGCTGCTAAATATCCTCGGAGTTCTCGCTGAAGTCTGGTACCCTCTGCCTGAAAACACACAAACACAGAGATGCTAAGCATCTTGTCTGTATCTTGCATGCAAACATGTACAAAGCAATAAGTCTAGAGTTATTTCCGCCAGAAGCTCATTCTTAAAAGAACATAATAAATATGTGGACACAGACTAAACAAGATGCCCATCACTCTAGATATTTACAGAGATTTTACTCAGCCTAAAAAGAAAAGGAGAAGGACTTCCCTGGTGATGCAGTGGGTAAGACTCCACACTCCCAATGTAGGGGGCCCGGGTTCGATCCCTGGTCGGGTAACTAGATTCCCCCACGCACGCCACAACTAAGAAGTCCGCATGCGGCAACTAAGACCCAGCACAGCCAAAATAAATAAATAAATAATTTTTTTTTTTTTTTTTTTGCAGTACGCGGGCCTCTCACTGTTGTGGCCTCTCCCGTTGCGGAGCACAGGCTCCAGACGCACAGGCTCAGCGGCCATGGCTCACGGGCCCAGCCGCTCCGCGGCACATGGGATCTTCCCAGACCGGGGCACAAACCCGTGTCCCCTGCATCGGCAGGCGGACTCTCAACCACTGCGCCACCAGGGAAGCCCAATAAATAAATAAATATTTTTTAAAGAAAGAAAAGAGAAGGAGAAGGCAAGTAAGACTTTGCTTAGAAACTGTGACCCACCATACAGCAGTTCAATACATTCAAGAGCTACTAAGTCTCTAAATTTTGACATGTAGGTTACAATGGTTGGAAACTGATCACCACTGTTCACTGTTTAATATGGTAGCTACTAGCCCCAAATGGACAGAGATTTAGTGCCAAAAAACATACATATCTCATTAATATATTCTACACTGACTGTATATTAATACAATATTTTGGATATACTGAGTTAGATAAACTATATTGACTCATTTCGTCTCTTTCTTTTCATTTTTTTAAAAGTTAAAGTATAGGGCTTCCCTGGTGGCGCAGCGGTTGAGAGTCCGCCTGCCGTTGCAGGGGACACGGGTTTGTGCCCCGGTCCGGGAGGATCCCACATGCCGCGGAGCGGCTGGGCCCGTGGGCCATGGCCGCTGAGCCTGCGCGTCCGGAGCCTGTGCTCCGCAACGGGAGAGGCCACAGCAGTGAGAGGCCCGCGTACCGCAAAAAAAAAAAAAATTATAGTTGATTTATAATACTGTGTTAGTTTCAGGTGTACAGCATCTTTCACTTTTTAAAATACATTAGAAAATTTTAAATTATGAATGTGGTTTGCATTGTGTTTCTATTGGACATCATCAAATTAGAGAAATTGTTCAATTGTAAATGTTGGCCCATGAACACTTGTTTTGGTTTGGATTGCACTTAGAAACTCTAAGACTCTGAGAGCAGGATTAGATTTTAGTCTGGAGCTCCCCCAGGAAATGTTGATGGTAGCGTAGAGAAGTGAAGCAGGTAAGGAAAGAGAGCCAATGCAGGGTGCATTAGCAAGCAAGCTTCTGCAGTGGGCAGCCCCGCCTTAACCCCGCTGGGGAACTCTGGGAGACGGACTCAAACACCCTATAGACATCCTAAACGAGGGGCAAGGGAGCTGGGGCATTTATGCATCAACTCCTGCCAATCATTGGCTGAGGGCTGCTTCTGGGGGACATTAATTCCCCATTATGTCCATGTAGGGGCAGATAGGTCTCAGGAACCACAGAAAGCCCTCGGGCAAAGAGCTCTGATGCTGGAAGCTGCAAGTCAGTCTAGTGGGCTCAGAAAAGGTAGGTGCTAGGGGCATACAGCTGGGCACCTACAGTGTTGCCTATGATACTGCAACTGAACACATTAAAAATATATGCATTTTAATTGCATAATCATTCAACAAAAGTGAAGAGAGCTAGCATACAGAATGACTCCACCATGAAAATTAATACTATAGCAACTGTTTTATAACTCTAACTTGATAGTTAATAATACACCCACTAATATAGCAACTATAATAGTCACATTCAATTCAAAGAGCATTTGTTAGTATTTACCAAAAAGGGAGAGGGGATGAAGGCAAAAAAAAAAACTTATGTCCTTCAGGGACTTCCCTGATGGTCCAGTGGTAAAGAATCCACCCTGTAATGCAGGGGATGCGGGTTCGATCCCTGGCCAGGGAACTAAGATCTCACATGCTGCGGGGCAACTAAGCCCGCAAGCCACAACCACTGAGCTTGCGCGCCTCAACTAGAGAGCCTGCGTGCCACAAACTACAGAGCCCACGTGCCCTGGAGACTGCACGCCACAACTACAGAGCACACATGCCCTGGAGCCTGTGTGCCACAACTAGAGAAGGGAAATCCCACAGGCCACAACTAGAAAGAAGCCTGCACGCCACAGTGAAAGATCCTGCGTGCTCCAACTAAGACCCGATGCAGCCAAAAATAAATTAATTAATTTTTTTTAAAAAAACTAAACTCTTAAAAAAAAGTCTTTCAATAAATTATAATCTAGTAGAGGAACTAAAATATCTATACGAAAAATTGCATTGCAAAGCAGATTATACTTAACTCTGAAACACCATCCAAACACAATGCAAAGCCAAAATGCCCAGCACATTTAAAAATAGATAGTGATTAATACAAATAAACTCTGGGGACTTCCCTGGTGGTCCAGTGGCTAAGGCTCCGCTCTCCCAATGCAGGGGGCCCAGGTTCGATCCCTCGCCAGGGACCTAGATCCCACATGCTGCAACTAAAGAGTCTGCATGCCGCAGCTGAGAAGTCTGCATTGCCACAACTACAGATCCCAAATGCCTCAACTAAGACCCGGCACAGCCAAATAAATAAAAATAAATAAATAAATATTTTTTAAAAATGCAAACAAACTTTGAAAAGAAGTGTTTAAGACTATGCTGGACTCCAAAATAAATTCTGGAAGAGAATATTTTCCTATCTCTTATAGTGCAGGTATAGTGACATTATTTCTATAAAGTCTATGTAAAGCTCAAGTGAGGTTTTCTTTACCTGCCTTAAGCTCAGGCTGTTTTTGCAACTCTGTAAATCCAGGTACCACCAGATGAAAGCTTAGGGTTAATTCATTTGTTGGCACATATGAACTTCAACCAGAATGGTGCTCTACAGAATGGCAAAACAGAAATCATCAAAGTTCTAAACAATTGACTCCCTTTCTTGTGGCTCAGCATGGCTTAAAATCAAAACTAAGTTTCCTCTGCCTTGCTGAGCCATTCAGAAATGCAGTATGAAAGCAAACTACCACAAGCTAGATTAAAAAAAAAACAACAACAACCTCTCACTGTTGTGGCCTCTCCCGTTGCGGAGCACAGGCTCCAGACGCACAGGCTCAGCGGCCATGGCTCACGGGCCCAGCCGCTCCGCGGCACATGGGATCTTCCCAGACCGGGGCACAAACCCGTGTCCCCTGCATCGGCAGGCGGACTCTCAACCACTGCGCCACCAGGGAAGCCCAATAAATAAATAAATATTTTTTAAAGAAAGAAAAGAGAAGGAGAAGGCAAGTAAGACTTTGCTTAGAAACTGTGACCCACCATACAGCAGTTCAATACATTCAAGAGCTACTAAGTCTCTAAATTTTGACATGTAGGTTACAATGGTTGGAAACTGATCACCACTGTTCACTGTTTAATATGGTAGCTACTAGCCCCAAATGGACAGAGATTTAGTGCCAAAAAACATACATATCTCATTAATATATTCTACACTGACTGTATATTAATACAATATTTTGGATATACTGAGTTAGATAAACTATATTGACTCATTTCGTCTCTTTCTTTTCATTTTTTTAAAAGTTAAAGTATAGGGCTTCCCTGGTGGCGCAGCGGTTGAGAGTCCGCCTGCCGTTGCAGGGGACACGGGTTTGTGCCCCGGTCCGGGAGGATCCCACATGCCGCGGAGCGGCTGGGCCCGTGGGCCATGGCCGCTGAGCCTGCGCGTCCGGAGCCTGTGCTCCGCAACGGGAGAGGCCACAGCAGTGAGAGGCCCGCGTACCGCAAAAAAAAAAAAAATTATAGTTGATTTATAATACTGTGTTAGTTTCAGGTGTACAGCATCTTTCACTTTTTAAAATACATTAGAAAATTTTAAATTATGAATGTGGTTTGCATTGTGTTTCTATTGGACATCATCAAATTAGAGAAATTGTTCAATTGTAAATGTTGGCCCATGAACACTTGTTTTGGTTTGGATTGCACTTAGAAACTCTAAGACTCTGAGAGCAGGATTAGATTTTAGTCTGGAGCTCCCCCAGGAAATGTTGATGGTAGCGTAGAGAAGTGAAGCAGGTAAGGAAAGAGAGCCAATGCAGGGTGCATTAGCAAGCAAGCTTCTGCAGTGGGCAGCCCCGCCTTAACCCCGCTGGGGAACTCTGGGAGACGGACTCAAACACCCTATAGACATCCTAAACGAGGGGCAAGGGAGCTGGGGCATTTATGCATCAACTCCTGCCAATCATTGGCTGAGGGCTGCTTCTGGGGGACATTAATTCCCCATTATGTCCATGTAGGGGCAGATAGGTCTCAGGAACCACAGAAAGCCCTCGGGCAAAGAGCTCTGATGCTGGAAGCTGCAAGTCAGTCTAGTGGGCTCAGAAAAGGTAGGTGCTAGGGGCATACAGCTGGGCACCTACAGTGTTGCCTATGATACTGCAACTGAACACATTAAAAATATATGCATTTTAATTGCATAATCATTCAACAAAAGTGAAGAGAGCTAGCATACAGAATGACTCCACCATGAAAATTAATACTATAGCAACTGTTTTATAACTCTAACTTGATAGTTAATAATACACCCACTAATATAGCAACTATAATAGTCACATTCAATTCAAAGAGCATTTGTTAGTATTTACCAAAAAGGGAGAGGGGATGAAGGCAAAAAAAAAAACTTATGTCCTTCAGGGACTTCCCTGATGGTCCAGTGGTAAAGAATCCACCCTGTAATGCAGGGGATGCGGGTTCGATCCCTGGCCAGGGAACTAAGATCTCACATGCTGCGGGGCAACTAAGCCCGCAAGCCACAACCACTGAGC